CTGAGTAAACCATGAAACAAACTATACAATATGGTAAGAAACTGAGTAAACCATGAAACAAACTATATAATATGGTAAGAAACTGAGTAAACCATGAAACAAACTATATAATATGGTAAGAAACTAAGTAAACCATGAAAAAACCTACAGAACATGTAAAACTAAGTAAACTATTAAAAACTATAGAATTTGCTAAAAAAACTATTTAGTATTAAGTTTACTTTAATAACCTATTACATTTTCAAACTGTAAAAGTCAATCAACACAGTTTACTTTTTAGGAACAACTATTCAATAACACTTGTCATTAAATCATTACTCTTTAATGTGTTTATAATATCATTGGATATAGACACATTTTGATAATGGTAGTATTTAAGTGATATGTTAATTTTAAAGATTATTGTATCTGAACTTTTATTAATGACTGTTATTAAATTATTTAGGTTATAAGTATCTTATGTAATTAATATTTAATTATTCTATTTATCAATATTTTATATGACTGTTACTACATTACAAGCTAAATGCCTGTCATATGATGGTAATTGATTATTTATGTTGCTCCAGAAAATTTGTTCTAAATAACTATTTTATTAACAAAGTTTCTAAAAATAATTATTCTTTTCTAGTATTTCACAAAAAAACAACAATTTTTGTGTATATTTATCATTACCTGCAAGTGGTCCTTAATTAGAATTTAGAATTATGTATATTTTGATATTACACTCAAATCTGCTTCTTAATAAAGCCATAAAGAGTGGACCATGTGAAAAAACTGGTTCTGGAAGAAATATTCCTACATAGTCAGTTGTCTGACCCTGCAATTTATTAATGTGGTGGTAAAGGCAATGAGTTGGAGGGTAAAGGGCAAGTACATAAAGGTACAACATTTCATAAAAAATGGTTAGAAGAGTTTTTACTAAATTAAAGAAAAACTTGCTGAAGGTGAAAAACACCAAGAGTAATATGTTGTGGCACTATCTATTGGTTTGTAAAGATACTTAAGTTGCATTCAGCACACAGACAGACACTGATATTTATATATATATATAATAAATATCTTATAATGAACGATTTAATGAAATCTGCTATTACCAGAGATTGAGCTGAGACCTATGCTTTACTAAGGACCTACCAGAATTTTTAGCTACAAGATTATGAAAGATAAAATGATAAAAAATACATACGGGGAGATCCATATTTATCTGGATAATCCTTCAAAAGCTTTTCTCTAGCAACATCAGCTAGTGGCCCAAAGAGTACAACAGGTCGAACAAATCCAGCTGTGAAGGTCAAAATAATCTCTGATCAAAATGCAATTATGAAACTACATCTATGGATCAAAAGTATTATTATTTAAAAATTTATTAGGAAATAAAAATATTTAATTAAACTTTTCATGAGTTCATACTGCAAACAAAAATCACAAATGTTTTAATAGGAAATTGTGAACATTTTACATACTACACTTTGATTTTATTTAACTTTTTTTTTCTGAGCTTAAATAGATAAGCAATAAGAAACAGTTCATATTTGGAAGTTGCCATGAATTAGGACTCAAATGAGCAGGGAAGTAAGTATTAAAATACATGAAGCCAACACCAAACAATGGATCATGTACTGAGGTTCAAAATAGTGGAATGGGGTGGCTCACACATACACCAGTTTGTAGCATTGTTGCTTTTAAGACTGTCATTACTGAGTATCTTTATTAGCATATATATCTATTTACAGAATTATTACTTTGTATGCACTAATTAATTTGATAAAGTCTTGTTTAATTGGAAATATGACTTTTCTTCTTCCAGTATGAAAACATTTCAGTAGAAATTACTTACAAAAATAGTTTAATACATAATTCATATGGACTTCTGTTTATACATATAAAAATATACTTGGATGAGGTTGGAATTAAAAATTATACAAAAACTGACAGTTCACCACAAGATCTATAAAATAACTAGATGTATACAAAAATCAAATATTATAAGTTTTCAGATTTCATGATTTTCTGAGAAACTATAAATATCAGAACTTCTGTTAATGATTTTTATACTAATATATAAATAAATAGGGAACACATATGCTTACGATGTTTTAATGTGACTCTTTCATAAGCTGGGAACTTGGACATGGTATCTGCTGAATAAAAACAACTATATTAGAAATAAAAACTATTTAAAGGATAATTGCTCTAATTATATAGAATATTAAATGTGCAAGTAATTTTTTTACACTTATTTCAAATAATTATTGCAGGTAAAACGTACAAATTTTAATACATTAACTGTCCTATGACCATTTGCTTGTCACTGTACATTTAATATGGTTCTAGTAGAGAAAGAGAGTAAAATATAGGGTGGTATTAAAAACACTCACTACCTAAGTTTTTCTAGGTCTTGCCCTTACAGAAATGTGCATTGTTGATATGAATTGTGCCATGAATGAGGGCTAGAGTGTGAAAGTCAAAATTTTCCCTGATAATAATGTAAATTAAGAGCCTTAGACTTAAGAAATATCATCACGGTGTACGAGTTTTGCATTACCCTGTATGTTTGCGTAAAATAAATAAGAATGAGAAACAATGGATTTTCAGTTTTTTTTTTTTTAATTAGTTAATAGAAGAGTAAACTTAAATTATCGTCACACTTTTCACTTGCATGATAAAATGTATTTAGCACTAAACAAAATGGAATTAAAGTTAAAAAGCCCCAAAAAACTGCATATTTTATCACAAAATAAAAGTAAGTTTTATTACTAGAAAGTGAGGTGTTTTACTAACCCAATATAACATCTTCCCACTGATCTTTACTTAAAGATTTAGTACGTCTTGCACTGCGTCGCTTAAAAAAGCTCCCTCTGCTTTCCGATGCTGCGTCTTTTTTAGCTTGATTTTGCTGTTCCTGAGCAAGTTCCTCACCTCTGCATTATAAAGAGCATAGAACACTATAAATACTAGACAATTTAAAAAATTCAATCTTAAACAAAGATTTCTTTTCCTTTTGAAATAGCAATATCACTACTGCTTCAGTATAGACATTATAATAAAAATGAAAGGGTTTATTGGTATTCAATTACGTTTTATAATTTTATCATTTCTTTGATAAATTTAAAACTGTGAATTACTTGCATACAGTTGAATGAAACATCAAGAAAAATATAACTCAACCTGTAGTTTATTTTTTATAAATACTTCAAGATATATTGGATTTTAATAACCCTCAAAAAGCGATATAGTAATAAAAAAACTTCACTAACCTATTTCTATTTGGAATAACACCCTTCTGAATTTCTTGGTTATTTCGACCCAAACGATACACAAGCCAGGAGCCAACAACACCATTATACAATGTGTCGATAACATGAAACACTTCACCAACATGGAAATTCAGTTCTCCTTTCTCAGAATTATTGTGGTTAAAGTGGGTTCTACAAGGATAAGAATACAAAACATCACTTACATAGAAAATCTTAAGGTATGAAAATAACATAAACTTCTCTATTCAAACAAAATATAATTTCTAGAAGGTCATACAATTTTATAAATATATATGTACTGTAACAAAACTATAAGACTGAATGATTTACCATCTGATCTTTATGGTTATGATACTCATGACATACACTTTATCTATAACAGAAGGATTACACTTTTCATTTATTTGGTCTCCTACTGAAAATAAATGCTTTGCATGAGTAACTGACTAAAACATGATAAATGGCTCTTGTTATCTGAAACCACACAAAGATAACCCACTGTATACACTATTTACACACATTTAATTTTTGTAAACTTAATTCATGGATGGAATGTTTTTAGTGAATATAGTATATATATTTTGTATCTAAGAAGAATTTTTATCTTGTTATATACTGATCAGTTTAAGTGTTCAAAGCAGCAAAAATATATATATTTTTAACACGAATATTTCATAAAACAAAACACATAATGTGTAAAATATAACTTTAAGTAAAATATTTTAATGTTAGACCTTAACACCAGCATTAGCAGAATCTATTAACCCAAGAATTACTGATAGGTCAGTATCAAGAGCCCCATTGACTTTTAAAATATATTTTTCTAAACCATTTCTGCACCAAGTTTCCTGTGGGTCCATGACTTTGTTGATTACAGAGTCCCTAATATATACATGTCACACAAAAAATATCATCCATATTGTGATTATTGCAATCTCTTAAT